GCGTCTTATACAATAGGAACGCCGGTGCTGGTGACAGATCTCATCTTCTCGTCGTGCCTGAAGCCCTCCGCGATGACGTCTTATTAGCTCGCCACGACGAGCCCACATCTGGCCATCTGGGCTACTCGAGAACTATGGATCGGGTGCGACAACTCTACTACTGACCTAAAACGTCTGCCTGTGTCAAACGCTACGTGAAAGGATGCCGTGAATTCCAGCGTTGCAAGACACCACATTTAAAGCCTGCAGGTCATCTACAAACGATAGATCCACCACGTACACCGTTTGAACAAGTGGGGATGGACCTCCTAGGCCCGTTTTCTTTGTCTTCTTCTGGCAACAAATGGATTATTGTCGCAACCGATTATTTAACGCGTTACGCTGAGACGAAGGCGTTGCCACGAGGGACCGCATCTGAAGTTGCCAGTTTTTTTATGCATCAAATTGTGCTACGGCATGGTGCCCCGTCATATGTCATCACTGATCAAGGGACATCATTCACAGCGAAACTCTTGGATGATATTTTCAGGTTGAGTTACACAACCCATAGAAAGACCCCTGCGTATCACCCTCAGAGTAATGGTTTAACAGAAAGGCTAAACAAAACGCTAGCCGACATGATCTCTATGTACGTGGATGTGCAGCACAAACTGTGGGACGAAGTCCTGCCGTACGTAACATTTGCATATAACACTGCAATGCAGGAAACTACACGCTTCACGCCATTCCGACTCGTTTATGGTCGAGATGTTACAACTATGCTGGACGCCAGGATTCCACATGAGGACATCGACAAGCTCGACCAATTAGCCCCCGACATCAATGAGTACATTCAGTGAGCTGAGGAAGCACGTCGACTGGTCCGTGTGCGCATACGAACTCAACAGTGCGCAGATGCACGGCGGTACAACATCCACCATCGAGAAGTTAATTATGAACCTGGTGACCAAGTTTTGGTTTGGACACCCATTAGGCGGCGAACTCTCAGTGACAAACTTTTGAGGAACTACTTTGGACCTTAAAAAGTAGTCAGACATGTGAGCGACGTGAACTACGAAGTGGTTCCAGACGGAGGCTCACCATCATCCCAGCGCAGGTTACCACGCCCAGAGACTGTACACGCCCTATCGGAAAAAAACGAATGGTGGGCATAGTGTAAACCACCACCCACCATTATAGTGGATTAATGTAGTGGGTGAATGGCGGGAAACGCCCACCATGGCGCATGGTGGGATATGGTGGGTGCTGCAGTGCCGGCAACGCTTGAGCGCGAAATGACGTCAGAATCACCGTGACGAGCTGCCACAAAAAATAAAAAAAGGATTCTATAAAAACTATATAAAAAACACCCGTCCCGTGAAAAATAAAAACAAAGCCCAACGGAGGATCGAAGGTGCAATCTGCGGAATCCCACTTGAAGACGCTAACCACTGCGCCACACCAACATGACGTTGATTGTGTGTTAAATACTTAGTTCGCATACACACTTACGGTTCAACTTAAGTTATGTTTGTCGTGTACACAACGTAGACAAGATCTACACCTGCTACTAAAAATTGCACATTTATTAAACACAAGCAACTGCGGCCTTTAACGATTGCCACTATGTTAATGGCACTAGTGCTATTTTTTTTTACAATTCACAACTTCAAGAAAAAAACCAAGTGGACTGGGGAGCAGCAATAGTTTACCGGCGGGGTCTGCCAAGTTTAATATCCGTTTCGCGCTCGTTCTAAAGGGTGACATCTGCTCACGCTTTATGACGCTTCTAGGCTCATTCCCTGTATACGCCCGCCTAATTTATTTGATTGAGTATTGGGATGCTTTTCGCGCAATGTAGAGAGCGGTCGCGCAAGCGTAATGCTGTAGCTCTTTCCCTAAAGCAACAACTACATAACGGCTTGGCCAAAACGAATGCAGTGTGCCGGAAACATTACGCTATCATATTGGTTCACCAAGCATATGAATTGCCACGTCTGAGTTCTCGTACAAAAGCTAGAGAAGTGCCGGCGAGTGTGACCGGCGGCTGTCGGTGAGAAGACACTTACGTTCTCTGGGAGTGCTTTAATCGCGTCGCATCGATGTTTGTTGCTTCTTGAGCGGACACCATACACAATGAAAAATGCTTCATTTAGGGTAATTGATGCCTTGGCTGCACTGTATTGTCATACTTAATCGTCGAAATCATGTATTCTGAAACCCGGAAGCACGGATAACACAATTGTACGGGCTTGGTCGGTAGGCCTAACCTTTGGTGGAAATCATGGTGGTAGAACGTGTAGTGTACAGATCCCAGCTTGGCACACTATATAAAATGCCTGCCATTATAAGCCCACCCATCATCTGCTTACTGGTTCCCAGCATTATCGCGATGGTGGGCAGAGCTTCTAAGCTTGGTACACCATGTGGCCCACCATAACAAGCAGCACCCATCATCTGCTTAGTGCTTCCCATCATTATCGCAATGGTGGGAAGAGTTTCTCAGCTTGGTACACCATGTAGCCCACCATAATAAGCACCACCCACCTTATGCTTAGGGCTTCCCAGCATTATCGCAATGGTGGGCAGAGTGTCCCATTATTGCCCACTATCTAGCCTCTTCTTTCCACCATCATTTCCACTTTACCCATCATCTGTACACCATACCACCCAGTATGTCCCGGCATAACCACCATATTTTCCACTACGTCCCACTATAGCCATCATAATTTCCACCATGCCCACTATTATTTCCACTACGCCCACCATGTTTTCCAGTATCCACCATGGCAATTTTATCCGATAGGGCGTAGTCCGCCTAAAACTATACTTTACGCGGTGATGCGAATTTTCTTCTTGTGCCAGTGAACTCTTCATGTGAACAGTGAATGCCGTTTATTTCCGATTGCCGGGCCCAGGACGCATTTTCTTTCGTGCACTAATTTTTTAATGTTTCTTTATGTTACCTCCTTCGACCCACTGCTATGCACACTTTTGTTTGAGCATCGGGTCGATGCTCTCTTGGGAGGAGGAGTAATGCCACCTGGTGTTCTGTGCCAGTGAACAGTGGGTCAGTTCTGTGCCGGCGAACGAGGAAGACAAAGACGAGCAACCCGTGCCAGCGGAGACGTTCTTCTTTGCCTCTGAGATTTTGACAGTCGCATCCCTTTATACGTTCCGTCGAGTTCTTAGCGCGTGACAATATATATATATATATATATATATATATATATATATATATATATATATATATATATATATATATATATATATATATATATATATATATATAATATATAATATATATATATTCCATTGCATTCCATTTACATTCCATTGGGTCTAATAACTTCCTCTGTACATTCCTTGGCATTACTGTCTGTTATATCTCATTAATATTGTGTTAAAACACGGAAAAACAAGCCCTTAGGTATACACTTCTTTCCCTTATATATATATATATATATATATATATATATATATATATATATATATGAATTATATGCGCATGCATATCAGTACATAACTGCGCATTATACATTTTAATGTACTTAAAGTGCCTAATATATTTTTCTCCATTTTTTTTTCTTCTTCACTGGCTTTGTTTTACTTTTTGTTTTGTTTTTGTCCTTTTTTTATTTTCGTTTTTTTCCTCGCTATTTATCTTTAGCAAGTGTATAATTAGGCACATTTGACCTTGTAGTGCACCTGCGCCTGTATTAAATGCACTCTAATATGAATTTGTAACTGTTTAGCGCCAATAATATGCATTTTCCCCCACTTTTATCAGGTGCGGTACCCTGTCGTTTCGCCGCCGATGGGTGGCTTGGGCTTTGTCAAGCTGTCATTGGACAGCTTTTTTCCCGGCCACCTTTTTCCCCGTAATTATTTTTGTTTTTGTTGAAAATAAAGTTCTTTGATTGATTGATTGATTGATTCATATTCCTGCTTTGCCTAAAGGGGCTCTGAAACACTTTTTCTAACAACCATGAAATGAATTAACGCTGCTAAAATTTTTAAAATTCCTTCATTGCGAGTGGAGTTACAAAGGTTTGCCACATGCTGCGATTGCATTCTCTCTTCTCTCGTCCCGACGAAAGCACTGGAAGCTAAGCAGAAAGAAATGGCAGGGCCACAGAAAGACGTCACGCGTACTTGTAGCCTTTAGAACTTTATTTAATTTTTTCTTTGAATGCGCGGCTTTTTTAGCGTGATCACGCGTGCATGAAAGGTAAGTGGCCTCCCACGGCAATCTTTGTAACGAGTGATCGTGCCATGTTCAAATCAGCGATTGGCTTATAGATGGGCTTACTACATGTCGGAGGAAAAACTTCTACAATATCGACAAGATGCAGCTTCACAGAAGAAGGCTCTGAAAACACTACTGCATTTTTTTGCCATCGACTGGCCTTTTTGAGCGGTTGTAGCTAGAAGGCCCTTCCTGTGCTTGTTTTCTCACGAGTGCACGTGCGTTTCTCTCTCCACCCCTCTTTCTTGCCCCTACTATCCCACCTTCAGTGTTGGGTAGCAAATGAGATGCCAATATCTGGTTAACCTCTCGGCCTTCCTTTTTGTCTCTATCTCTCTCTTGGGCATATTGCGTGATTTGTCGAGAGAAGAGAAAGCAATTTTTTGCTGAATTTGATAATTTATTGTGTATTCCAGGCCACGTGCTGTGCTATAATATTTGGCTCGCTGAATTTGATAATTTATTGTGAATTCCAGGCCACGTGCTGTGCTATAATATTTGGCTCGCATGTTGTCGGGAGCCTCTACTACTGATCCGCAGCGTTTTCTGACTATGCTCAAAAAGTGTTACGGGGCCCTTTTAAGATATACCTTTTCAAGCAATATCGTCGACATAACTGAGTTGTGCAGAATTTTTTTTCACAGTTCTAGCGCTCACAAACACTTTCTAAGTGTGCTTATAGACGAGTTGTTTTGAATCCTATGTGCGAAAAATATCAAAACGTTGTATCACAGCAACATTTTGTTCCACTCTCTAGGTTGCCGGAATCCGCCATCGTTTCCGGACATATATATTATCAACGAGACAACGAGCTGCATCTCAGATGGCTGTAAAGATTTTGGTAAGTGTTGGAAACACCTAAATTCTCCAAATTAGAAAGTAACCGTGGAAGCTCTACTAAGTTGATAAACGATAAATGTATCGAGGTTTTCTACTCATATATATAGTCCTTATACATCATATCTTGGTGCTGAATCTCCTTCAAGCCTGTCTCACTTGGCCAGAGGCGTAAGCCAATCTTTTTCTGAAGGGGGTGGCACCACCACCACCAAGGTGAAGTGCCAGTGCGCAGATGTTGAGAATTATTTAGGTAAATATCAATCAATTTACCTAAATAATTCTCAACATCTGCGCACTGGCACTTCACCTTAACTTTTAACAAGTTGTGGCTGAACCAACTTTAACAACTTTGACAGGCGCTAATCTACTCGCCCTCGTCTTATATCTTATTGCGTACTATTTCTGGTAAATACTTGGCGGTTCTGCTTCACTTATTCTTTAAATCACCTGTTGAAGAGGGACAAGCGTGCGTTTGAAAAAGCCATACTTATCAATGAATCAAATTGGTGGTACTCGTATCGCACAAAAATATTTTCATGCAAGGTTCACGACAAAGAAGAAAGTAGGAGTAATAATGGGTGATGTTTAAAAAAAACACCAGCCGACCTTGCCATACGAGAGCCCTTCACTCATATGGGTAAAATTTGAAGATTTGGCGCCAGAAAACCAACAACGTGGAAGCAGCGATACCTATGTTGAAAATTACTAAAGTTTGGACGCCCGCTGAGTTCTGTTCCAACGCTGTGTACCAAAATATGGTAGCTGCAGGGGGCCCCTCGCAAAAAAAGAATTAGGAGCAGTTATGCATCGATTCTTCGTAAGCATACTTATTACAGCACAGTTTCGCCACTGCCTTTTAAGATCAACGCAATGAATGCGATAGCAACAAATTGAACTGTTATGCAAAGTAAGGCTAGGAGATTCAGGAAATCTATGAAATGTAGTGAGCACGGTCGAAGGTGCACTGGGCTGTACCTTTCTCGCATGTACAACAGCGAATTCTTCCTGTGTCTGTGCGCGTATGCGATCCCGCCTTACTTCAGCGCGACTAGCAGTCCGTTGGAGCTGGTCCGTAGGTGTTCTACAACACGCGGAGGCTTCACAAAAGCAGAAATACATAAAGTTATTTTGCCGGTGCTTCTCCTGCATTTCTTTTTTTAGTGTCAGTCGACGCCGACAATAACGGTCATGGTAGCGAAAAGTGCAGTTTCAATACACTTCACCAAAACTTCCGCCTCAAATTTTGCCAAGCAATGCCGATGGAATGGACGCTGGAAGCAGCCGCACTGTGGCAGAAGCTTGGTTGCTTGCTTGTTTTTTCATATATGGCTTCCACCTATCACGGGAGATCACCTATGAAAACAGCGGTCAATATAAAATTATAATATTGAAAGGTTTGATCAAGCTGTCTTATTTTAGGGGCGAAGCTCCTTATAGCGGCACCCGTTCATCCCTCGTAGCCGTTGTACTGTGCAACACGTATAACATTTTGACCTCCAAGGTGGTGCCGGTGTGAGATTTTTCTCTGCGTTGTTGAACAATAAAAAATAGTGCTCAATGTACATGCCAGTGACTGTTAGTGGGGAATGAGAGACAGGAGCAATTGGCTTTTAGTTTACGCGCACGCTGCAATCCCCATTAGCAGCCATTGGCATGTACATTGATCACTATCTGACAAGAAAGGGTAGCTATATTATACTCGCTGTGTGTAACATCCGTAGTTTTAGGAAGGTTTAGCGAGCGTTGAGCCGCAGTGCCATGAATACAATGAACTAGTATATATCATGAATGAACGCGAGGCGGTTAAAGGTAAGAAGTAGATACGAAGCGCACGCCATAAGAAAGTAAAAGCCGGATTCTCTTGTCTCTCATTTCCCATTAGCAGCCATTGGCATGTACATCGAGCACTATCTGACAGGAAAAGGTTGCTATGGTATACTCACAGGACGTAACCTTCATGGTTTTCGAAAGGTTTAGCGAGCGTTGGGCCGCAGTGCCTTGAACACAGTGAACTAGTATATACCATGAACTCGAGGTCGTTAAAGGTGGGAAGTAGAGCCGAAGCGCAAGGCGTGAAAAAAGTGTGTTTGTGCCACCTCTCATTTAGTCCTTGGTATGTCCGCTGGATGGCGGTGCTTCTATATGGGAAATATAGGATGAAAAGATGCGAGATGGTGGTGCTTGGAGTGTTGAATAAATGGACGAACGGACACACAGACAGATGCATGGATAGACGCATGAACGGAAACAGGGGCGGACACATGGACGAACGCAGGGACGGACGCGCAAACAGACGCACGCAGGGACGGGCGGATGGACGCATGGACGGTCCCCCAGAGGGACGCATGGACGAACGGAAGCAAAAACGAATGGACGAACGAATGCTTCGCCCCAATCTCCATGGTTCTCTCCATGGATATAATGCCAATTTTTTCTTCAGCTGTGTAACTAGCAGCGAGACATGCGAGCCTTGTTCAAGAAAGTTAATTTTTTTCTTTCAAGTCCATTCACCAATAATTATTATTAATATTGAGGTTTACCATCCCAAAATTACCATATGATCACGAGAGACGCCGTAGTGGAGTGCTCCGGAAATTTCGACCACCTGGGGTTCTTTAACGTGCACCCAAATCTGAGCGCACTGGCCTACAAAATTTCCACCACCTCCATCGGAAATGTAAGCACCGCAGCCGGGATTCGATCCCGCGACCTGCCAGTGAGCAGCTGAGTACCTTAGCCACTAGACCACCGCAGGTCGATTGACAGTAAATCAGTGATATATATATATATATATATATATATATATATATATATATATATATATATATATATATATATATATATATATATATATATATATATATTATTTGTTCGAGTATATATTATTGTACGAGTGAGATACAGAGCTTGAGTGAGCAGTGCGCTGAGGTGTGAGGTGTAGCTAGTTCGAATCTCTAGCGGGTGCCTTGAAATATACTTCTAATTTATTTGTTTTGTGCCTTTGATATGGATCTCTATATACATAAAAATATCTAGAGCATGATGGTGACGGCAACGGCGACGAGATAAATAGGTCGAGAGTACCAGCATAATCGTTCTCGCAATGAAAGAAATATCGCATAGATAAACCATGAGCGGGCTGTTAGCGAGATATTGGCGGGCTGCGTGTTTGGGACGCCCAAGCTACGTAGTACAAGAAGATTTGAGAAAACTAAGGAAGCATTTTGTAACAAATTGATTATCAGCGTTACTTCTAAAATGCAAAAAAAAGTTTTGGAATGCTATATATATTTTGTTTTAACACGAAAGTGCTTTCAGCAGGGGTCCACCAAGAATAAAGACGTGGTCCACCGAACCCAGTTACTAACACTCTCCTACAATGCATCATACCAGCCTGAGAATCAATGCTTAAAAGTGCGTTATGATGGATTCCAGGACACCAAAACGTAGCTGGCAATGGGGCAGTGGACTGACGTGCGAAGTCGTCTGCTTTCCGCTCGTCAGAAGACGTAGACATCAACTGAGGCCGCTCATCGCAACCCGAATGCGTAGGCAAAGGCAAGAGAAATAGAACGTGACAAATAAAAACAAATTGCACAGAGTAAAGCCAACATCAGGAAGATAGATATGCGACTGTGAAAAAAAATGGCACATCCCACGTACAGTGGCAATCGATCATATGCGAAGCATGAATGAAAAATGTTGATATGTCACTTTAAAATCAGCACAACGTTACGAGGGGGAGGTAAATGATGCGGTACATGACTTTCGTGTCATGGTTACTATGTTCGGATACGTCGTTTGCTTTTGTGATCTATTCACGCCACGTGATACCAAATTTAGTACATGTGGAGCGAGCGAAACGGCCGCGAGCACGCAATCAGCGGGGTATGTTGTCATGTTCTTACATGATGCGTATGTCAGGATTATCATGTTTGTACCAGTAACATATTTGGTCATCCATTGACGTCCCGTAACACCAAATTCGCTATATCTGGATCTGGCAAGACGGTCCCGAGCGCATCATTAAGGGCCCAATATACTCCAAAGTAGCGTATACGCGCGCGCACGCTAGGCACAGCGACGCTACGTTAGCAAAACGCGAGCATTCTACAGTCTGACGCCAGGGGCGACCAGCGTTCGTCGGCGCGGCCCGACGGCAACCGGCGCGAAATGCGACATGCTGCATTTAGCGCCGATGCGTTATCCAGACAACATTGCGTCTCCCGCCACGGAGGAAGGAAAAAGGTAGGGAGGGGTCATGCCCAGCCAGCGCAGGGCGTAAAAAGTGTGGCGAAAATGACATCATGGCGGCCATATTCACTAGGCACAATGGCGGCGTTGCTATGGTTACGTGTTGCGCAGTGAAGCTGGTCTAGCAGTGAGCGGCCGCAGCTGCAGCGGAATGTGTGCCTCCCCAGGTCTCGTGCTGAGCCGTGGCGGACAATATCTGTGCTCTGCGCCGCGTTATTGGTTACGCAGTGTTCTTCTGGCTGTTACATTACTCTTGGCAACGTTTACAAACTCTTTGTCCATCACGGGGTTTCAACAGTGCGTAGAACAAGTGCATATCCATGTGTCGTGCGGCGGATGACGCGGATGAAGCAGTTAGTGTTCAGCGAAATGGCGTTGGGCACCATGACGAAACTGAATGACGACGAACGCCTTGCAGGTCAGTGACGGTTGAGCAGTGCTCCTGCTTGTGACAACGGACGCCACTGTTGAGCCCAGCAAGACGCCGTGAGGACCATGTGCACATACCTAGTTTCGTGTTGTGTGTGTACAGTAACAACTTGCATGTGTGTATTAAAACACATTTTCTGTTCCGCTTGGTACACTCTCCACCAGCATTGCATGTAATCTCGATGTAACAGCAACCACGTTCAACTGTCACTAGCACCGTGCTCAAAGTCACCACGGTCGCAGAATGCTGACGCAGGTGAGTTTCACGCGGAACACGGACACAGTGGCAGGACGCTGCGTCAGTCACGTGGCGGAATG